TGGGGGGGGGGGGGGCGTGTGGGGACAAAGGAGGGCTGTGTGTCCCCGGCCTGTCTCTGTGCTGCTCTGTCAGCAGGGACGCTGTGACAGCATGCAGCACGTCTGGGATTTAATGGCACACTGTTGTGTCCCTTAAAGTACTGAATGTGTCAATCATTCCATTTTGTACTCAAGGTGACCTGCATTTTGTAATCCTTCCACGCTAGATACATCTTAAAACCTCTCCTCCTCCATTTGATCCCACCAAGTTTCATTTTTTTTAATAAAAACCTTAAGGGTTATCTCACTTAATCACTAATTAGTTTTTCAGTTTCTCCCCAGTCTTCCCTATTATCACCTTGAAAACATTGTAATTAATTAGCCTGAACTTCCCAACAGTGTTACCTCCTTGTGTTAAATGTGTACGACTTCTATGAAAAGATCAGTGATTTTTTAAGTAGTTTTGTCTTATTAACAGATCTACAGCTTAATGTTTTATATATACATAGATATATATATTTATAGATATTTCATGACCCATATTGAAGCATGCTGAAGCTAGAAACTCGCCAAAACACAAAACCATATTGAAAAAGTCTCTACTTAAAGAAGTGAAAACCCCCTTAACATTTAGCGGGAAACATCCCTTAATTGGCTTGTTAGTGTGGACTCAAACTAAAAGTAAATTACCATTTTTGCTATATTTTTGGAGCAGTCGCCTCAGAGGCATATCAGCCCTATAAGCGGACCGAAATCTTTGCAATTAACTCGGAATAATTGTTGCAGAAAAATCAACACTTATTAACACAGCAAAATGTGCTGTGTGTACCCGATCTCCTTAAGGGGGTCATTAAAGTTTCATGAGCTGAAGTGATCATTTATAGACAGTCCCCTGTTCATATCTGGGTGGAAAACTATGTTAGATTATGTCTGATTGACGGTGTTCTCTCAGATTTCAGGTTTGTTGACACCGAAATGAGGCCGGTTAGCTTCTAGCCTCTATAGCATGCAGACGGTCTAAAGTGGATGACTCACGCAACTAACCGACCTGATGAGAACATTACCTAAATCACTGTTCACCATCTGACTAAAGGGAGTCTGTGCATCACAAGGCCAGAGCTGACCCAAATACTAAAGAGCTTTTATCAAGAGACCTAAACAGATGAAAAGCTGCGTGTGTCTTTTGTAGTTTTAAAGGATTATCATTTGAAGGGCTTTTACCCTACCGTAGCAGTAAAAGATCGATAAACGATAGTGTCTGTAGTATTTAATGTTAATCACAGTGTCCCAGTAACACCAACATCTAAAGATTTAGACCCTGGGTTTAACATAGGAAAATTGTTTTGCTATAATACAATGAATATATGACCAGAATTCGATTGTATGACAGCTAGCCTTATCTTAAGATAATTGTATTCACTATTTTATCCTGAGTTGTTATTCAAAATTGCCTTTCTTTGTATGGTAGTGTATTGGTTTGTCAGTAAGTAAGCGAGAAATTGATGTTTAATCTCAAAAAGATAGAAAATTAACCAAAGTGTACATTTTAAAATCCACTGCTTGTTTTAACTGAATGATCTGTTCAGTTAAAACTGACTCATGTAAACAGATATTTTCACCACTTCAGTTCTTCTTTTTTTGTGGGAACATGGAGCATGAGGAGAAACATTAGGTGTGAAATTTCCGCAGGATTTCCATCAGGACTTAGCGAATGCTGGTCAGAAATATTTCATTTGCCCTTTTGTTGAAGTGCACTCCATCCAACAACACATATATACAGTATATGTTAATCCGTCACAGGGGACATCAGATTAAATTATGAGTAGTGATACTTAAAATATACTATAAAAATTGATGTATCTGATACTAGGGCGATCTGATGACTTGTAAAGATCTTGAGTGTCTTCACATTATGGTATTGGCACTTTTACTTAACCTCTTAAGGCCCACGGACCCGGTTCCGGCGCCGAAATCGCGTCATTTGCAGGAAACAACGTCTAAGGAACCTTAATATTTAATAAACTATGAATATTTTATATCCATTTAATGGGAATAAACTAATTTAACTGATCTTTTCCATTTAAAAAAAAAAAGAAGAAAAAACACAATGCTTAATGCCACAAGAGCCTCTGAATTAGCCCCGAGCAAAAAATGCTAACCTATTACTGCACCGAAAATCACTCCTAGCTTCCTTATTACTTATCCTAGCTGCACATCCAACACATCGTTTATGATCGTAAAGACACAGAATCTAACTGTGCCCACCTCAACACTGAAAGATACAAACTCGCAACGCTATCAACAAAAACGTACATCAAAACATGTGGCGCTAGGTAGCCTACAACGCTAACATGGTTTACCTTGGTTTTGTCTGGTCAAAACTGGTCTTCAATGGCATTAAAACGATAACAACGATGATGTAGTTAATCCATAGGTTAATATCCAATGTGGCTGTGTCCCCTTTGAAATGTTCTGATAATCTATAAGCAATAAAACCGCAATTCCGTTTTCAAATAGTAGAGCAGGCCATTCTTACGCTCTGCAGCAAGATTGAATGCGCGAAGACGCCATCTTTTTTTTAACATGAGTGTGTGCGTGACGATTTCCCTTCCATTCTATTGGCTCTAACGGTCAGAAAGAGATGTCACATGTCAAAATCGAAGAAGGGGGGCCAGAGATAAGGAACATCCACCCAAATGGCCCCAGAGTAGNAAAATGTGGTTTAATTGATTGTGTGGTTTCAATGTATAAGATAAGCTAAGCTAACTAGCTGCTAAGCTAACGGACATAGCTAATTATTAGCATAGGCTGTTGATTATACTGCACTCTATTTGCATTATGTTGCACATGTATTATTTCAATTGTGTAACTTGTGTTGTATTTTTCTGTTTATTCTTGCAGTTTTACAATTTCAAGCCTCAGTAAATTGTCAACTCAACAACTGTCTTCTGAGTCTTTGTTCGCTATCTGTTAAGCTATGCAGTGCGATGCATACGCAAGGGCAGAATAATAAGCAATAAAACTGCAATTCCCATCCGATGTCGAGTATGGTTACTTTCACCGAATCGGGGTGGTACTTGTTCTACAATTTTCATTACCTTTTATTTCAGACCGGGTTGAGCGCGGCTCCATTTTTAACGTGTGCGTCCGTCCAATCATCTAACTAAAGTCTCAGTGAACCAGATCTTTAATGGCTTCTGATCTTTGCCAAACACTTTTCGACAAACAGTTACTCACTACAGAAGAGGTTCAGCACTACTTGCTAGTCAACTAATTACAGAAGACCCTCGCTCTGAGTCTTGCGATTCATTAGATAGTTAAGTGTAAAATTTAGACTGTCGCCCACTCACACCACTCCGCGCGCGTGCTCGAGNCAACTCAACAACTGTCTTCTGAGTCTTTGTTCGCTATCTGTTAAGCTATGCAGTGCGATGCATACGCAAGGGCAGAATAATAAGCAATAAAACTGCAATTCCGCTTTCAAATAGTAGAGCAGGCCATTCCTACACTCTTCAGCAAGATTGAATCCATTTTTTTTTTAACATGAGTGTGTGCGGGACGATTTCCCTTCGATTCTATTGGCTCTAACCAGAGCCCTAGAGAGATAAGAGTTAGGACACTCCCATAGACCTCCGTTGTAAAAAATGGCGGCGCCTACTTCCGGGGTATGGACATCGAAATAGTTCCAAATATTGTCATTTGGGCGTTGGACCTCATTCACTTACATTACGGCGTGTCGATTACCGTAATTTTCGGACTATAAGGCGCACCTGAATATAAGCCGCAGCAGCTAAATTGAATGATGTGTACATATATAAGCCGCACTGGACTATAAGCCGCAGGTGTTTTAATGTTTAACTACCATAAGGGTTCGTGCACAGAGGGGATTGTCGGGAAAGAGATGGCTGTTTGAGGAAGCTCCCATTTATTAACATTTCAACAAACAAGTTGCATATTTGCATCGTTATGCAAATATGCAACTTGTTTGTTGAAATGTTAATAAATGGGAGCTTCCTCAAACAGCCATCTCTTTCCCGACAATCCCCTCTGTGCACGAACCCTTATGNGATAGATAGATAGATAGATAGATAGATAGATAGATAGATAGATAGATAAATAGATAGATAGATAGATAGACAGATAGATAGATATAGATACTTTTTAAATCTAAAGTTAATTCCCTAAATTGGGAAATTATTTTGTGACAGCACCAGTGTTCAACATTAGAATACAAATACTTAAAGTGGAATAGAATCAACAATTAAAAATAAAATGAAAAATAGTATATCAAATATAAACAATATCAAATATAACCTGAGCTTCTTGTTAGACTGTAGAGCAGACATTCCCAACATGGGGTCATGTTTAATAGGATGAAAGAAAAATATGTAATATTTGGAATAATAATATAATTATAATAATAATTAAAATGAGATCTTATTTTGTTATTAATGTTACAGTCATTGCTACTATTTCTTTTGCTTTTAATATTTTCCTAGAAATCTAAATGTTTTGGGAAATTCGTAAAGTATACTGTTGTTACTTAAACACATTGTAGACTACCCCTCTTTATGAATAAAGATAATTATCACCTTGTAAAAATGTCAGACATTTGTCATCAGTGAAGAGCGGTCACAAGTGATACATTCCAGACCCAGGTGTGGATACATGGCTCCAGGTGTGGATACATGGCTCCAGGTGTGGATACATGGCTCCAGGTGTGGATACATGGCTCCAGGTGTGGATACATGGCTCCAGGTTGGTTCCATGGCTCCAGGTTGGTTCCATGGTGCCAGGTTGGTTCCATGGTGCTAGGTGAGCTATACGACGGCCCCTTCTACATATTTATGTTGCATTGTTAGAGGAGCCTGTGACTTTGGTTTTGTATTGCATATCTACTCTGTAGCTGTGCATATGAAAATAAAGCCCTATGAACTTTAACCTGTGCGTGGTACTGACCGATGAGGCTGTCGGGCCGCGGCAGCCCCCCCCTCTGGAACAGGCCGTAGGGGTCCCCTGCCCCGTAGCCCAGCGGCTGGCTCTGCCGGGGCAGCGTTGATCCGTAGTGCTGCGGCACCGCCGTCATCCCCGACCTCAGAGGGGACCCCGTCAGACACCTCCCCTCAACCAGGGACAGGGTGGAGCCTAGGCGACCCCCCCCACCTACTCCCAGCACCACTCCCCCCAGGGCCTGGGTGGCGTCGGTTGGGGAGGAGGGCGAGGGGCAGGAGGGCGGCATTGAGGTCCCGAGGAACACGGCCGCCAGAGGTTTGGGCTCCGAGAGGATGGGGGAGTCGTAGGTGCTGCCCTGGGAGGTCCGCAGGGAGATCCGGGAGGGGGAGACGGTGCCCCCTCCCGGAGACTGGCTCCTGGAGGGGAGGGACGTCATCCTCCGTAGGACCCTGCCCGACACCTGAGGGAGGATGGAAGATGATCAGAGGGGGAAGAAGTACTTGAGTACATGTATTTTGTCCAGCTGAATATTCTAAATGTCATATTGTGTAAGCAGGCATTTGCTTTTATTGAAGCCCTTTTATTTTAACAGGTCATTATGCTCTAGGAGTAAATACCGTTCAATTATGCATGCACTCGATTAAGCATAAAATGTCAAGCCCTGTAAAATGCTTTAAGGCCCACTATTATGACAGTGAAGAAAACAAAAGGAAAATCGATGATAAAAGGAATCTTACAGAACAAAACTATAAAATAAATAAATAAAATATGTGTAAAATATATAAAAATGTGCAACATATAATGTTATTATTGGATACATAATCAAAACATAATCAAAGCATAATATATCTTTCTAGGCAAAAACAACTTCTCTAACTGAATGATGTGTTTTGCATCCTGCATGTTTCTTTGGCAGTTATGCAAAGTTTAACCACAGATTAAAGTAGAGAAGTTATTGTAGATTCTTCAAGGTCATTATCAAATGACATTTTTAGCAGATTTGTTGTATTAAGATTGACTCTCCAGGGCCCAAAACAACAAAAAAGGTCAAGTATAATATCCACACTGTTGAAAACTAATCACTTAAGCATATGTTTTCTGAATTTGAAATGAGGCTCTGCACACTGCACTGCAAATGTACTGTAATGTGACACTTAGCGGCAGGATGCTAACTGATGAAGGGCATCGTGATCGTGTGTGCTTTTGTTTTAATGTCTACATTCATTATACTGTATGCTGAGTTCTGCCAGTAAATATATTACATTTCTGGGAAGATTTGACAGTATATTTCACATGTATGCTAACACAAATCTACTTTTCCCTACCAAGTGTAAAATGTCCCTCAATTACAGACGGAGGCAACTGGATGCCGATCTGTGGCGCCTTAATCCATCAAAGCTCCGACGCCTCGAAGGGAAATTAAGAGCCGAGACATGTAAGCCCATCCAGTGAGGAATAAATCAGGAGAACATTCAAATGGGCTCCCTATCTGTCATTCCTGCTGCTACTGTCATGCAATGAGCATATCATTATTAGCCACAATGAGAGAATAATGGGACGCAGTCTTAAAGGTAAAACTCGTTCTGATTTGAAGGCTTTAGCTATTGTTCTTATTATTGAGCAGCCATTGCTTTAGGGAAGAATAATAGTATTCACAGCAAAAGAACACACTCCATTTGAAGTGACTGAAACATGTAAGAAGTAGAAAATGATTTTTCATTTGCTGCAAGGATCAATTGAGCGACTGTTTTTAGTCATTTATTCTTCATCAGCAATTGACCGGACTGTTTATTTCCACCTTATCCATGTTAGCCCAACATTAAAACATTTATTAATGATTTGAAAGATCCATAAAAGCAACTAACAGTAATTATCGAGCCCTTACTAGCAACCATTGTTGTAGGGATAGGGATTATTTATTATTCAAATATTTCAGATGACAGCAGTCTGAAATATGTGAGGAATAATACACGCAGTAAGTATCTGTACTGGAGCTTCAGCACACGGGTCTTTCCAGAACAAATGGTAGTGCAAATGTTGAAATGAACATATTTTGGTTGATTATAAGGACTTTTCAGCCAGGTTATTCCAAAGCGATCAACATTTCAAGCTCCAAAACAGCTATTTTATTAATCAACCAGTCCTCTTATTTATATATATTATATAAGTGTATTGTGTAAGTGTAAGAGCCTGGATTTTGAAATGTCCTTGCCAATAATTGAACTATTATGCTTATGAGATTAAAACCTTTGAATCTTGAATTGAGTCTAAATCATCTTGTGGGGAAATTGTTATCTCAACGGCCTTCCAACTGAATAACCTTTGAACCTCAGCTTTTAGAGCAACATTAGAATGACTCGTGTAGATGCGACCCACCTGCCCAGAGGCTTGACCCTCAGCCCTCGGGCTCCTGGACAGCGAGGCGCGGGGCTCCGAGCGCACCACGTTCTGGTTGCTGTAGTAACTCACGCTGCTGTCTTGGTAACCGCTGTCTGAATACGAGGTCATCTGCGCCGAGTGACCCCCCGAGCCTGAGAGGAAGGGGAGATCAGGGGGTGAGGAAACACTGCGTAGTTATCGCAGCACTTTGAGGGGCAATCAAACCCATCAGCAGTCTATACCAGCCTCTTGATTTGCATATTATCTCACATGGCTTTGAACTTGTTAAAAGGCATTATGCGTATAAATACGTGCACATGCATATCTGCATTACGCCTTTATGCTGGCCCTGGAACAATCTGCATATCGCTTCAGTAACGCTGGCCTACTTTCTCCTTCTGGATAAAGAAGAGGGATGTGCTCACACTAACAGACCACTTCGACTGCGTGGAATAAATAAGAGCAAAGAAAAAGGATAATTACTGTATTACACTAGATATTTCAAATAATAATATGTTTTTTGCTATTAGTATCTTTAATAATATAAATACGCCACTGTATAATTTGTAATATACACATTTTTACATATTTATGTTTGTTGAATATGAACATTTTGATATTATTATTTTTAATTATTTTTGTATTTTGTTGTATTGTATTTTATTCAATTTATTCTTTTTTATTTCAATTTAATTCTTAAATGGAGCAACTGTTACACAACTCATTTTCTCCCTGGGATAAATGAAGTATCTAAATGGTGAAGTGTTGACTGATGATATTTCCATTTATTATAATATAAAAGGAGGTTGAAAAATGTTTGTTTAAAAGGATTTGCTTCAGGCTTTACTGGAAGCAAAACAGGTGGTGTGAGTTTTGACTATTTGATGATACTATTTAAAGTCTGTTTGTTCAATATACTCAGAGAAGATAAAACAGCAACATAAAAGTGCACAGCTGCTCTCTCTGACTGCATCAACGCTTCCTTTCTTTTCCTGGTTTAACAAAAGCTGTGAGGAAGCCTGATGGACCGAAGTGTCCCGCGCTCCAGTGGAGAAATGTCCGACAGCGACACGCCCAGGTGTGAAAATATGAGAAGTTCTTCTGGCAACATGCTTTCAAATAAAGAATGAAACCACGAGTGAGACAAACAGATTTTTCAGTCGATGGCTATAACTAATGCGCTGTATAAATAAAGTTGGATTGAATTGGATTGATAAACTGAATAACTGTTTTTAAAGGGTTTCAGATATTTTTTACAGTATCAAATGTAACGTGAAATTATACATTATTTCATTTTGATTGTCTGTGTTGTTATTTTGGCATCTTTTCTTAATCTATACATACTATTGCATGTCTGTCAGGCCATGGGATATACATTTTTAAAACACACACAACTTAAGCAACAATATTCAACATTCTTCTCCTGTGTTGCTCTCTCGCAAGTTTCTTGAGACAAATGTGTAAAATGTGATATTGGGCTTTACACATGAAATTGAATTGATAAAATACAAGTGGAATTTCTTTAGAAAATGTGGCTATTCCTCCCAAGAGTGCTTCACACATCATAACCCCAGCTTTAAATGTGGTTCAGACTATGTGGGGTGTACATTAACAGACCCTCACTGTCATGCAGCGAGGCGCGGTCGGGTTCAGGCATGAAGAGACCCTCCTCCACCTCCAGCTGACGCCCAGGACACCCAGACGCCTCCATCACTCCACCCTGCAACTCTTCACCTGTGAAAGCATCTGCCATTAGCCCAAAAACAGAGAGCAAGTCCTGGGTAGACTTTCTAACAAACGTTTCTAAGCAAATTTAGACTGAAAAAAGGACATTTCCTAACAAAATAGCACAGGCAAAAATCTTTCACCTTTGCAGACAGAACCCAACAAATATGAAAAGTACTGATTCTCTGTCACCAAATAACACAGCATTTTATAAAAGTGCTTTTGTTTTTATTGGAAAGAAGACAGTGAGGAATGGCCGAGGAAACAGAGGAGAGGGATCTGTGACAGAATAGTAAATGGGTCCATTTCAAAGCTCATATATTCTGGCGGAAACATTGTTTTGTTTTGCTTCACTGGCCTTCTTCCTTTTGAGGCTAAATTGTCTTTCTGCATCTGGAAAAACTCTTTCCTTACAGCCAACATCATATGGAACCCATCTTATTTGAAGCCGTATAATCTTTATCTTATTCCTTGTGGTTTTGAAACCTGAAGTGGTCATCTCTCTGTCACCGTATCATCTTAAAAATAGCTTTGAATATCTTTAAAGGTTAAAAGTGAGAATTCATACCTGCAGATCTCCATGCAAACGACTTCTCGGACGAGCTTCAGGAGGAGAGGAGAGAAGAGGAGGAAATGGAGGAGAGGAGAAAGCAGAGAGGGACGCAAATCAAATCAGAGTCATGGCCGAACACTTTACATTCAATCAGTCTAGGAGGAGGGTAAAAAAAGGTTTCAAATGTAAAAAGGAACTCTGTCTATCGAAGGAATCTCTTGCCTCAAAAACATTTCAATGTAAAATGAATATGAAGACTGTCTGTATTGTGTCGAATTCAATTCACCCTTCAAATTGATATCAAAATGAAAGTGAGTTGACCCCAGCTGTGGATCGGACATGTTATACAGCAATAACCTCACATGCATTTTGATATATGGGCTAACACCTGCAGCTGAAAAACAATCATTTATGTTAAGTAATACAATTATATAAAAGAGACCACAATAAAAGGTTATGTGACAATCTGGAACAATTGCAAACAATTTTGCATCTTAAAAAAGTGTTTTTAAGGGTTAAAATTGAATAAAATAGTTCCTATTTATGCACACTAGGTATTGTAGTTGTGTTTCAATGTGATGTTTACACAATGTGAGGCCTCAATAACTTAAAAAATATGACATACAAATACTCAATTTTAATCCGAAATCAGGTTTTTATTAACTGTATGATACTATTGGTGTTAATTCAAACAACTTGGTGCTATATGCTTGAACAAATAGAATATTTCTGAGTGTATTTTATTCATATTTTGCTGGAATATAACATACATGGTTTGAGATTCAATGCACGACACGTGAGCTTCATGCTTACCTGCTGCTGTCTCCCGCTGGCGACTCAGCTCCCAGCATGCACCTCTCCAGCTGGCTGGCCACAATCTGCCGCTCCTCCTCTAGCTCTCGAGTCAGCCGCTCAAACTGAAGCTCCTGCAGGAAGACATTCACGACGGTGATTATTACCCGACACTCACCATGACACGGCCATTTAAGCCTCCTTATAAGCCCTATTTGATGCCAGTTAGAATTAAACCTAAAAACCCATTTTGTGTTTATCCTGAATGACATGGCGGGTTTTCTCACAGACGCTGAGAGACTGTTAAAGGGGGTTTAAGATTTAAAACCTGTGTCCGGGACCTTTTAATGGCCTTCAGTTCAGATAATGTAATTACACACATTTGAAGAATTCGAGGATTGAGCAGAAAAATTATCAAATATAAATGTCAACGGCTCTTTTTTTATTGTCTGTCAGAGAGACTTCTTACTATAATGTAGCTTAGCATCAGATCATTAAAACTTGCTTTCTTGTTGAGTGGCCTTAGTTATTTACGTCATACTGCGTAGACTGCTATATCTCATACTGTACATAAAAGAGTACAGTGTTTCACACAAGATGTTGCCTGGACATTTATATGATGCATTCATATGTACAGCATGTTATATGCACAACTTTTCTTAATACTGAATACATTTTGCCCTCCAGCAAGACGACTCCCTTAGCATGAACTCATTATTCACGGATTCACGCATACATTATCGTCATTCTGCACAATGCAATTCAGTTTAAGCTCAGTCCATTATGCTACACACAAAAAACATGATGAAAAAAACAGAAACAATGGAAGTGTATTCCTTAAGTGCATTTTTTCAATTTGCAAAAAAACTCAAGTTGGAAACAATGGTACATTATCAGGGCATTAATATTGTGCAAGTTGGGTTTTATATAAAGGGAGATGAGGGGAAAAGATACAATCGTCTAAAAACCCTCTGACATTGTTGGTGCATATTACATTACATGACATTTGTTAGACGCTTTTATCCAAAGCGACTTACATACATTCAGTACAGTGGGCAATCCCCGCAGGAGCAATTTGGGGTGAAGTGTCCCAGGGACACAACGACATGCTTACTGCAGTGGGACTCAAACTTGCTATCCCCTGATTTGAAGTCCAGCACTCTACCCACTGAGCCACAGCCTCCCTTATAGGGTAAGCAGTAAATATGCAACTGTCAAAGTCATTTCTAAACATTTGCATGACCTTTAACGGCAGTTCAAATCAAATGCACGACACATTTGATCTTTTTGCCACCATTACAAATGCAGTTTTTCCATGGGAATTTAAGAATGAGCATTTGTAATGAAGGTTAAAGTGAATCAGATGTTGTTGCTTCCCTAAAAACCCAATGACCTGATGATTTAAGATTTTAAAATATAATTTGAACTCGTATTATTAGTTTGTACAGTGTCCAAAATCAATAAGGCACAGACACAATGTATTATCTATGTGAAAATATGCATTAAATGTGGCCATTAGTGTCCTTTTGGCAACAATCCAACCCAAACACCAACACACTAAAGTGTGCCCTACTTATTCAAAGCCTTAGGAGCTGGTAGGGATCCAATGCCTTGCTCAAAGGTTTGCCAGTAGAGCAGATGTTTGAGGTGGGATAGCTGGTCGTTTTGGCAGTCCCCTCATTTGTATTCTGTTACATAACACCGAGGCTTCCCAGCTGCTTCATAAATCTTCGAGGAATCACAGCTGGTGTCATCACGGAGACCGCGGGGGGGGTTTCTCTGTCTGCGAACAACGTCTAAATATAAAAACACCACACAGCTTGGCTAGGAAACTTGTTTTGAAGTCACCCAGGAAAAGCTCTCGGAGAAAGTGAAAGGTCTGAAGAGATCGATGTGTTTGCGGTGACACAGTAAACAGGGTTGTGTATCGACGGTAGTTTTAAGGTCACTTTCACAGTCTAAAAAAAAAAATTATAGCCTTGCATTCAACCACTAGAGGAGGAAGTGTTTGATCATTTCATTAAAAGCCCCAAGCCTGCTTTTCAGGTTTCAGGCTCGAAAATGACATTCCCTGAACAAATGACCATATCTTCCCTTCTAAAAGGGTTAAATTAATAATCTTTTCTCTCAAAGTAATGATAAACCTGTGAGTTGGATGTAGAAAAGTCAGACTCAATATAGATGTTTTTTTATTTTAAAGAAAATTCAGATTGAACATGGTAAAAAACTGTAAATTATAGTGTCCGTCCAAAAGATATTTTGTACTTATAGTGATAACTAACCGTGGATGATGGGTTAGTAGACTAAAAGCTTTAGAAATCCAAAGTACAACATATAATAAGTACCCTGTATCAAGATTGGTGCAAACAAGTGATATTTGACCTTTTTAAGACAGATTTAGCAAAACAAAACCTCTTCTGGGGCCATTTGTGTGGATTTTCCATATCTCTGGCCCCCCTTGTTCGATTTTGACATGTGACATCTCTTTCTGACCGTTAGAGCCAATAGAATCGAAGGGAAATCGTCCCGCACACGCCAAAAAAAAGGTTGCGTCTTTGCGCATGCAAGCTTGCAGCAGAGGGTAGAAATGGCCTGCACTGATGTTTGAAAACGGATTGCAGTTTTATTGCTTATATATTATCTACGGAGCCCCCTAAGGGACGTTTTGGGAAAACGCTCTAGAGCGTTTTGAAATTAAATCAGTTACATGAAGACACCAGTTAAAAGTCGACGATGTCCGTTTGTGTCTTTGGTGGTTGTTACCTCACCAAGTAGCTAAAATGAAACCTCGACCGGAATTTATATTTCCTATATGGTAGTCACCGAACCGTTATCCGTGCCCAAGTGTGTATCTGGACATATATATTTAACCAAAGTGGTTCTCTTGTGAGTCTCGCTGCCCTGTACCGTGCAGGGAGACTCGACTCAATAACTGTCTAAGCTTAAAGCGCCTAGTTATTGAGTACTTGTTTGCAACATTTTTATGTTTGTTGTACTTGCAAATGTTAGTTACCGTTCAACATCTGTTACTCGATGTCTCAGCAAAAATAGTCTTGTCCAAGCTATGCCGCGGCCAGTAGGCTCGTAGTTCTTAACCATTTTTAGACGTCGATCTCCTCCCCTCCTCCCAGAATCCCTGGCAGAGTTTGACGTTTGCCCCAAAACGCTCTAAGCGTTTCATAACGCTCCTAGAGCGTTCCTGAAAAAAAAAAGAAGAAAAAGGTTAAAAAAAAAAAAGNCGGTTTGATTGGCTAGCGCTTGCACTGTCAGATTTGCATAAACGGGATTTGATTGGCTGACGCTTCCACCTCAGCTTCAAAAGTTGAACATTGCTCAACTTTTGAATCCTGGAAATCCTGGAAATCTTCGCTTTGCTTCCCCACAATGCAGTTTGGCGAAAAGCGAGGCAACGTGACGTCACCCCATTCAAAGTGAATGGGCAGAAGCGTTGGAAGATTTTTTAACGCTGCTGTGTGGACGGGCCGTGACACTGAAGTTTTTAGTACCAGTGTTTGGCCAACTTAAAAATTGCTTTCACGCCTGGCTCACTTCCTGGGGATTCACTCACATGTTTCGCTCCTCGTACTGCTTTTAGGTCTATCACATTATAGTCTACAAGCCATGGAAATCATAAATAACTGAAGAGGTCTCAACTGATTGGCCGATGCCATTTGGTGCAGCCATGTAAGACTTTCTATGGTCAATGAGCTGCATTGCAAGCCAATTGTTTTGCTTGAGAGTAAGGATATAAAATATTTGAAAATGGGGAAGCTTCAAAACTCGACACACTCATGGTATAACTTCATCACTGACTCAGTGTGTCAGGAACCGTTGAAGCTTTATATACGACGCTATGCAGGTTCATACAGTGAGGCTTAATGTGCCCAAAACCAGGATGGCAGAGAAAAGAGCTCCAAACAGAAGAATATGGAAGAAATGAAGTTCTGACATACCCATCCTCCATGTTCCTGAATCCAGACCAGTAGATTGTTTTTGAAAAAATCCACAGTCCATCTCTGGATCTCCATCAGTGACTCGGGGAGATGAGTCATCACCATCTGAATCACACACACACAGATAAAGTCCATACACAAGGTGAAGCGACTGCCAAACTGTGATTTATTTCAGTTACATTGCTGGATCATTGGAAAGAAACTGCAACTGATAGATGCGATGGTTAGCTTAGCATGCTAGCTAGTATCAGAAACAAACTTGCCAAGTCTCTCAGCGAAACTTATAAATAATACTGCATGTTTGCACTTCCAGTTCTCTTGTGTGGAAGCCGATGGGTTTTGGGACAGGGGTCTGTGGTTATCGCAAGTCTAATAGATTTTCTCACTAAAAAACATCAGTAGATGTCTCACAAAGGTCTACATTTCTAAGGTGTTTTGCCTTTAAGAAAGGTGGTTGCAAACCAGGGGCTAATTGAGACTGCTAAACAGAATCATGTTTGACGCAGTAAACGTCACCAAACCAGACATTAGCAACCTTTAGCTTAGCAGTTTCGACGTGAAGTAATGCAGCTGCGATGTAATAGTCAAGCGTACGTTTTTTTTAATTCTGGAGATTGCATTTACACTCCAAAAATCATAAAAGAAAATGTGTTTGGGAACATACTCCTACTGAACAAAATGTGAGTATCATAAACCTTTGATGTTATTTTCATCATAATCCATACCCTACGGAAAAATCTGATTGGGTTTTTGTCGAGGTAACCAAGGTGATGCTTACTTCTGGGTCTGCCTAAACGTCATCACTGCAACACTGATGAGCAAGAACAACTATCCCCCTCCAGTCTTTAAGATAACCACCTAAAACATCCAAAGGCTTCAGTTATAGAAACGTTTGTCACATATTTGCTAAGATGGGAGTGCAAGGTAAACGCATTCCCACCTCTATCATTTAAGTTAAAATACACAATAATAAAGTGGAGATTCCTTTTTTACTGAGAAACAGAGTTGGAAAGGCACTTAAAAGCCTTTTCCTCTAAACACACAGTGTCAGGCAGATGTTCTGAAAATCCTTTGGTAAAATGAAATTGATGCGTTTCAAACAAGGGTGTAACTTTGGTTTGAGAAGTGGGAGGGACACAAAACAGGGGGTCCTCCACAATGAAACATTTTCTCAATTTAATTCCATTTCCTGCCTTTCTACAAATATATATTAGGGACTATAGTGTTAACAAATCCAAGCAAAATGTGTAGTGTATATAATGAGTGTGCACACTTATCTAGTATCCTATCCATGTGAGCCTGTTTTATTTGTGATAACCTCACATCCTCTAGGGGGGTCCGGGGGCATGCACCCCCGGGAAGATTTGTTTCTTTAAATTGAAATTGAATGCATCAATCTGGTGCACAAATTAAGAGATTTATGGATATAGCTCTCAACTCATATGAAACAGAACTGTATATATTTCAATAATCAAAAAACCATTAGAATATGCTCACAACCAATAACACATCATTGATAAACTCCTCTCTCCTATCTTTATCTTACCTAGTCTGCATTCTTTCTTTTTATTTATGCATATTTGACTAATCACTTCCCTTTCAAACTGTGTTTTTTATTTTGTACTGACCTATAGTTCACATTGGAAGGATTTCTTATTATTATTTAATATACAACTAATATTACATATGGAAATATTTGTTTACATAGATGACCAAACCGTTTGAGACCCACTGAGATAACTTAGACTAAAGTTTACAACCTAATCACTCAGAGTCCTTTACCTCCCTGAGCTGACGTTATCTCTCTCAGCCCGACAGGAGAGGACTCTCCCCCTCCTTATTGTTGAAACAGTTTCTAATCTCCGTTAGCTCCAAGCTAGCACAAAATGCTAATAACAACCCCGTAACTCTCTATGTCTCTCTCTCTCTGTCTCTCTCTCTTTCTATCTCTCTCTCACAAGATGCGCTCGTGCCACACACAGAAAGACGCTCCTCCGTGACGATGACCGCTTGCGTAAAAATAATAATAAACACATTTAAAAAGTGGTGGGGACACAAATGGGATTTTGAAAAGTGGGGGGGACATGTCGCCCCTGTCCCCAGTGGAAATTACGCCCATGAGGAGAGACCTCATTATTACAAGATAAAAGGCGGTGCACTGTTTCATAAGGGTTTAAGATTTCAGCTATGTTGCCACTAAACAACATTTAATATACTTTATTCAGATGTTTCCACATTGTATTCAGAGGGTTACACATTTATATAGCTTATCTTATTTATTTTCGGAATATAATACCACACAATTTCTTCCTTTAAGTTATTATTTTAGTTAATCCATCCATAATAAAAAATGTCAAATGTTCTGGTTTAAGGATATACTATTTATGAAGTACAACACACATGCTCGGGTAGTGAATAAAAAATGAGCTGAGAAACTTGAGCAGGATTATCTCTGTTCATTGAGTCAGTTAAAAAACACATACGGAGCGAATTACAAACCAAAACCATTTCTATTCATCATTTTCCCGAGGAAGGCATGACCTTTCTCCTGCAAAGCAACGTCAGAAACATAAAACTCTATCGGGGCAACTTCCCCCCCGACACTTTGCTGTGTAGCCGCTGGAGGATTTACTTTTTTGTTGTTGTTGAAAAAGCGCTGCTGATGCTGCAGCAGATTTATTCCTGCATCCTGCCCACTGTCACTTTCCTAAGCCGCTCCCACTGACCCATATAGGGGTGTTTCCATCACAAAGCCCCTGTGCAGCATCAGCATGTGATTATCAGCTGATTGCTGTTTTAATTTAGTCCATTTTCATATCATGATGATTGTGGACATTATTGATGTGTAGAGGCCCTACTCTGTGTTTGTGTGTAAGTAGATGGATGGTTGTGTGGGAGGCAGAGTCAGTGAACTGAATACAATGCCTCCCATTCTCCCGTGAGTGCTTTTCACCCTGCGGCGCTGCTAAGTGGCCTAATATGTCGCCTAAATCCTTATTCCCAGTTATCCTGCAGATCCAACATAATCCCAGATTACAGCAGGGAGATAAGCAAAAGATGGATTTACAAGATTAGGCTATTACTGATCACTCCTAGCTTAGGTAGTGAAACCTGGTGAGAAACACAACGTCAGCTGTGACATGATCTTTTTTTCTTCCTCTGTGAAATCGGTTGGAAAATTGCAACGTCACTGACGTGGTTTTCATGTATGAGGCAGGGGAGATATTACATTGATTTTGTGTACTAGTGCAATGCANTTTTTCTTTCATCCTATTAAACATGACCCCATGTTGGGAATGTCTGCTCTACAGTCTAACAAGAAGCTCAGGTTATATTTGATATTGTTTATATTTGATATACTATTTTTCATTTTATTTTTAATTGTTGATTCTATATTTAAGTATTTGTATTCTAATGTTGAACACTGGTCCTGTCACAAAATAATTTCCCAATTTAGGGAATTAACTTTAGATTAAAAAAGTATCTATATCTATCTATCTATCTATCTATCTATCTATCTATCTATTACATTTGTAACTGCACAAAGTCAGTTGTATAAGTGTTTTATTTAACACAGCAACATTTCATGGAAAGGATATTTAAACAATATCTTTTTATTCATCATTTAGTTCGGTCCAGTGATTTTCCCTCTCAGCAGGACATTAAATGATACGACGTGATAAAACCTTACAGCCACATTAAACAAAAGGGAATATGAAGCATTGTTGTGCTTCTGAGGGAACTCTGGGAGCTTTACAGCCTTCGTCCTTCAGTGTTTGTCTTTGTGATGGTGGTTTGATATCGTGTTTCACAGACACGCAGGACTAATGAAAGCATATGGAGTGGAAGGTGTATTGTTTCTTATTGCCCTCTGTTCAGAGCTCTGGTTAGTCGGATAGAGCGTCAGTTTACACTTCTGGTCAAATCTATCAAAATGTGGCGTTTAGTTTCCTTTGAGAAAAGCACTTTACTGCAGGGTCTGGCTTCAGAGATCAGGGTTACTTTAGAAATGTAATCTGTTACAATAACTAAATACATGTCAAAAAAATTAACAGTAGCCTAATCTGAGTGTCAAAATATAAAAGTAACCTGATTACTTTCCGTTACTTTTGCATTACCTTAGTAACAAATGCAATGCAAATAAAATACCAATGATAAAATGAATAACAATAAGATGTTTTTTACTTTTTAATATATCAATCTTTATTTCAGAATGTACTGTAACACTTTAATCCTGCTAGTAATCTCTATTTTCGAATACGGTATACAGTTCAGTTTTTTTTTTGTATCCTGATTATTACCCAAGCCTGAATAAATGTTTTCAGCAGCTCTTGTAAATAAACAAAGCCACGCTCCACCACGATTTAATAACCTGTCCTTTGTCCAGGGGAAGCGGACTGAGCGGATTGAATATTGTAGCAAACAACCCTTTTACTGAGCAGCAGAGTTTCCTGAATAATCCAATAAATGCGCATATTGAACAAAATAACTTTCTGCAAGCTCTGCATGTGATGCTATCTCTAAGCGGGTTTAGGGAGCTCATTTAATGGAGTTTCCAGTCTAATCTTCTTCCAGCACGGGCAGATAATGCTGCTGGGTTTGATAACATTTCATTTGATGCACGCCCGTATGAAAATAAGGGATGTCATCTTTCACAAGGTGCATGTGTTTGATGTAATCTTGCGGGGGGATTGATCAGTGGAGGAAAACAAAACAAAAGAAAACAGTGGATCACAGCTGCCTGATGCGAAGTGCTTCCTCTTGAGTTTCTCTCTCATGCTCCGTTTAGCGAATTGATGTCCGTGAGAACAAACCGTGTTAGTATCTATCGGTTTGTAACGAAGCAATCGATGGATAGTTGACGTCTAGTTACACACTTCCTGTAGAAACACAACTTCATACTCGGTAAATCGGCAGTAGATAGCACATAGCACACATACAGTGAGCTAATGCTAAGTAGCCTGCTTTAGCTTTAACTTGATTTTTTAAAGTTGAAATAAATGCAAACATAAGCTAAATTATCGGGTGCAATACTATGTTTATTAACCCAATATGATATGTTCAATCAGTATTCAACATGTATATCATTGTTAAAGGGCAGTTAGTGTTAATAAAAAGTCATAGCCTACCAGAGGAAGGACATAGTATTGTAATGTGTGGCTTTCTATGTAATAATTACTAGAGAATACCTCATTATTATCGAGAAAAGAAACTCATTATTTAAGACAAAAACATCATAATCACAAGCAAGGGTGTAACTTTGTTTTGAGAAGTGGGGGACACACAAAACAGGGGGTCCTCCACAATGAAGCATTTTCTCAATTTAATTCCATTTCCTGCCTTTCTACAAATATATTAGGGACTATAGTGTTAACAAATCCAAGAAAAATGTGTAGTGTATATAATGAGTGTGCACACTTATCTAGTATCCTATCCATGTGAGCCTGTTTTATTTGTGATGACCTCACATCCTCTAGGGGGGTCCGGGGGCATGCACCCCCGGGAAGATTTGTTTCTTTAAATTGAAGTTGAATGCATCAATCTGGTGCACAAATTAAGAGATTTATGGATACAGCTCTCAACTCATATGAAACAGAACTGTATAGCTATTTCAATAATCAAAAAACCATTCGAATATGCTCACAACCAACAACAAATCATTGATAAACTCCTCTCTCCTATCTGTATCTTACCTAGTCTGCATTCTTTCTTTTTATTTATGCATATTTGACTAATCACTCCCCTTTCAAACTGTGTTTTTTATTTTGTACTGACCTATAGTTCACATTGGAAGGATTTCTTAATACTATAGGTCAGTACAAAATAAAAAACACAGTTTGAAAGGGGAGTGATTAGTCAAATATGCATAAATAAAAAGAAAGNAATAAGTTTGTGTGGCGTTTTGCTGATCCAGATGGTAATCG